TTGAAGATTTTTTGGAAAATTTTCTTTTGAATAACGAGGAAATTTTCGTCGATAATCATTTTCTTCAAGATCATCCGGGCTTTTGATTTTTCCACTTAATAGACCACGACCTAATGGTGCATAACAAACTATTGCTACACCAAGCTCTCGACATGTTTTTAGAACACCAATGTTTTCATGTTCAATATCTAAGCTAAATGGTGAATATTCTATTTGTACAGCTGCAACTGGATGAATAGCATAAGCACGTCGAATAGTATCACTTGAACATTCACATAGACCAATGTATTTAATTTTTCCTGCTTGAACAAGTTCTTTTAAGGCACCCATAGTTTCTTCAATTGGTGTATTCTTATCAATACGATGAACATAATAAAGATCGATATAATCGAGACCAAGACGTTGTAAACTTTTATCACATTGTTCACGAACATACTCAGCATCACCTCGAGCAGTTCTTGTACCGTCTGGAAGAAAAGCAATGCCGAATTTGGTAGCAAGAAAAACCTATGAAAGAAAGCATTTTTAATATATTATTTTTCTTCAAAGCCCCTTGTGTTTAAAAAATATTCCTATATGTAGTTTTACTAACCTTTTCACGTTGATGAGGATATTTTTTAAAATATTTTCCAAGTAAATCGTCATTATCACCATAAAAATTTGAGCTATCGATATATGTACTACCAAGTTCAATTAATCGATCTAAGATTTTGAATCGTTCTTCATCAGAAAGAGATACTCCATAAAATGCTGCCAGACCCATAGTACCAAAACCAATAGCAGGTAGATTTGGTCCATTTTTACCTAGTTTACGAAGTGGTATTGATACCATCTTGTTAGTATAAATAATCTGAAAACAAATACAAATTTAAACTCTAAAACGAGGTAATAAGAAAAAAAAAGAATCATCATTCGATGCAAATGCATTCGTCTATCTTAACCCTACTTGTTGAAGTGCAATGCACATAAATACGTTTTACACGCTACATGATAAAGTAAAAATGACTTTGCTATTACAATGACGAGATAACAAAACAAAGAATAGACAAAAAAGAAAAGAACGCAAAGAAATAAAACAAAAGGGGTACAAATTAAATGATCATTATTTAAACTAAAATATCACTTTTCATCGTTCTATAAAATCCCTCGATATCACATATATGTTATTGTACTTATCGTCTTTGTTTCTATCTGACCTACTTTATAGATACTATTATATATATTCGATATCTTACAGTAATAGACGAATATCAGTTTGGAGATTTATAAATAGTTAGATAGCCCATAATCTGTACTTTCGAATGTATTATGATATATAGAATATATGGAAACTACTACATCGATCAAATTGTATATTAAGATGTAAAAATATTTCTTCGTATGCATTCATTAATATTTCTGTTCATTTTATTATTTGAAAACAAAAACAAATATGTGTTCATATCTAAATAAACATTTTAAAAAATTTCACTATTCGGATAAAAGAAAAGAAAAGAAATACATAAGTTCACAAAATAGAAAAAGATATTTATATATATTCATGATTTGGCATTTATTGACAGGATTAATCAGATTCATCTATGAAGAGATACGAAAAAAAAACATTATATTCAATAGAAATTTGTTAATATAATTTATTTACCCATAGAATAATGTAGAGCCATTGATGATCGTTCTAATTGAACATAGACACGATTCATTTCTTCTTCATCTCTTATTGTTTCTTGTGTTTTCTACAAGTAAAATAAAATTATGAAATCTTCTTAAAAAATACTTGTAATTCAGTTACTGATTGATCTAATGTCATTGTTTCTTCTTCATATTCTAATTGTTTCTTAGCTAAATAAACACAATATGTTAAAATATAGTTATTTAGTATTTATATAAATAAAATATACCTGAAGCTTGTTGTTGAAGTTTCTTTGTAATACTACGAAGAAGTCGAGGTGAATCAATATTAACTGGAAGATCACTAGTATCCATTGAAGTTGCCTATTTTATAAATTATTATTATTATTATAATAAGAGTATCATTAGGAAAGAATTTACTTGAATAGATGTTTGATCATCAATTCGATTACGACGACCTGTACGTGGTGTTTTTGGTGGTGTACCATGTTCTAACATTAAAAAGAAAAATGAAATTAATGAAAAGATAATTATAAGAATTGTTACCAGCTGCAAGATCATCATCACCAGTTCGATCAGTTGTAGGTCGTTTTCGTGCTGTTGGTGGTGTAAATATGAATTCGGCATTTGAAATAGGTGAAGAAATTGACTTTGAATAGATTGAAATTAATAAAATCATACAAAATCTAAGATAACTTACTGAAACATCAGATACATCATCACTTTTCTTAGTTGGAACAACAGCCATAGTTTTTGATTTTTTAGGTTTTGATCGACTAAAAAGTTTTTTAAATTGTTCTTCATCTTCATCATCATCATCATCATCATCTCCATCGTTGTCATCATCTTCACCATCTCGTATTTGCATAGCAGCAATCTTTTTACGAGCAATTGCTGCTTGACCACGTACTGTACTTCGACGTTCAATTCCAATGACTGGTGTAGTAGCTGATGAAATATCAGTTGCAGTAATAGTTGATGGTGTTGGTGAACTTATATTTCCTGGTGGTCGAGCATCCGGTGATGAGACTTCATAGATAGCTGAAAGAGTCGGTGCTTCTTTATTATTACCAATAGTAATACGAGATGCTGTTTCACCGGGTTTAGGTGTACTTGTATGTTTTATAAGAACTAGATCAGTAACATTAGGTGTTGATGATGTTAATGGAGTAGAATTACGAGATGGTGTAATAAATGACTCTAAAAAAATGATATAGATTTTATGTAATTTTATTTTTTAAACTAATCACTTACTGACGGCAGATAAGAAGCCAGTTTTCTTTTTAGGTCCACTTTTATTTGAATCTAAATCAAGAGAAGAGATTCATAATATTAAAAATTGAATTTCAATTTTACCCGTCGATTTTGTCGATTTCTTCGTACTCTTCTTTGTCTTTGGTGACATACTTTCTACAATTTCTGTTGTTTTTTGTTTAGTTGTAGCAAATAGATTTGCTTGTGTAGGCAAATCTTCAGAATTAATACTTGATCCTGATAATTGACGCGTCTAAATATAAATCATAGATTAATTCAGTAAATAAAACATTTTTATTTATCTTTACACTTGGTAAAAATTTCAACCAAATTTTTCCATCAGGTGTTGTTAAACGACCCATTAAATGATTTGTTTCATTTTCTATATAAACTTTTGTTAAATTTTCATTAAGAAAATGTAATGGTGATGGTAATCTATTTTCTTGATTTTCAACTATTGATTTAAACAAAAAGGAAATATTATTTATGATAATAAAATAAAATTTACATTGATCAAGTGTTGATAATACAAATTTAAGTTCAACATCATTTGGTAAAGCATCATTCCAATTAAACATATATTCTATTTGATGAATTATATGAGCAATCATATGAATAGATGTTGTCGATTCATCATTAGGTGATGTCATTGTATAATCAAATACAATTGAATATGAATCATAAATCTATATAAAATATAAATATATATATATACAAAATTTGGTTTTTGTTTTACTGTATTAATATCATTTTTTTTGTAAAAGATCATTCTTATACTAAGAATATGTTGTTTACGAACACCATCAACCATTGTACGTAAAATTTC